GGCCGTCTTTCAATTCTAAACGGCGGAGCACTTAATTACAAGGGCTTCACCTTCCTAATTAATTATCTCCCAGACCCTCGCCGGACTTAACGCATCAGGGAACACAGGCAAATAATTTGTTTTCGCACTTCCACAACGGTTAAGTGGTAGTTGCTAAAAAACACGTTGTATTATTTTTGAAAAAGAATATTTAAATATGTCTTTTCTATAGAGCCACGGCTCTAGAATTATGTTACATGTAGCTCTGACAGTCAAACATAACATCGTACCGAAGTCATTTCATTCATGTAAATAAATAGCTTAAAATTTTCAACATGTTCAAGGAACTCTTAAAAGTATTTTACCATTCTGAAGTTCGGTAATTCGATCAAGACAACGGACAAGTAATCACGGCAAATTTACTTTCAAAAATGTTAAGTACAAGTATAGTTCGAGAGTATCGACCGGAATTTCCTCTGCTTTTCGGAACGTGTTTTTACTTTTATAAATATGCACGGCCATACCATTTGTGTAACGGATTATCGATTTTTAAAAAGCATGTGTATGTATTCTTTTGTAATTATAATGAATAGTGATTCAGTTGCGAATTTAACCGCGAAAATATCGCGAACTTTTAGTGTTTCGGGTAAACTCTGCAACACAGTAACATTTCAAATGATGGAGAACCCTGCCTAATCTTTCATTTTCTTTGTAGAGTTCGCACATACTGAAATAAAATTTGGTTTACAGATTCATCAGATGACTATCCTGGTCAAGAACTATTTTGGGTACAATCGTGCCATTTCTGAGAGTTATGCCCTTTTGGACTTGGAAAAATTCCAATTTGGGGGGAAGGGGGCATAAGTGTTTTACAAACATCTCTTGTTAACTATATCTTCTATATATACGAGGGCCGTTCAAAAATTACGCGGACTGTGCTATTATTTACTCTTACAGGCGTCATATAGTTATAAAATTTCACAGAAATATGTATCTTAAAGATTCCAATAAATTTTGGGCAAAATTTCTGTATTTTAAAAAAATTCTACTAAAATTATCGGTATGTTGATATCGTTGATGGAGAGGTACGGCGCACGACAAAAAAATTGAAGCAAAAGCATGCGGATTCAAAAATTTAACTCATTGATTTTCTAAAATTCTCTATGTTTTTCAACAATTTTCTCAAATGTACCTTTAAATTGTTCTATTATTATTTATTTAGATTTTGGACGTAATATTTGAAGTACTAACAGAAATATAGTGATTTTTCTCTGATGCAATTCCCGTGAAAACGACTGTGAAAATGACGTCTCCTGAATTGACGGCGCACCACACTTTTGTTAAAATATGTGTAATGCTCGAGATATCGGCAACATAGATCCAAAATATGCATAATAAAACATGTAGTAAACTAGGCTACTCGTGACATTCGCCCAAAAATAGAAAATTGAAATTTTAGACAGTTAGACCTCTGTAAAAAGGCTATACGGGAGGACGGGAAGATTATAGACGAAAAGTTAACTTTATCCGGACTGTAAAGAACGTGATTGAGAGTCACCAATATCACACTATATCTCATAAGTAGTTTTTGGTTTTAAAACAAAAAAAAGAAGAATATTCTTTACTTGTTTAATAGATTTTAAGCTTGACAAGAAATGGTGTTTTGATGTTGAGTAGATAAGGTAACTCAAACTATACAGGTACTCAAGGGAAAATGTTGAGAAAATGAAAGCTCAATCACGTATTTTTTATAATGCTTGTGACGTCGAAGATTTTGCTGCGCCGTGACTTAATGGTATGTCCTGAAAAATCATTCAAAATTAATACCAATTTACAACATTTTGATATGAAATTTTGAAGACCATATAAGTAAAGATTCTTTATATTATTTGTGAAATTTTGCCCGATTATGTCGTCAAATATTTCTTCTGTGCAACAAGTCCGCGTAATTTTTGAACGGCCCTCGTATTTCTATGTAAAACTTTGATCCCCCATTGTTGCAAGACCCCACACTTTGGGGTTATGATATGCACAAGAACGAGTGCACCTATTAGCCACGGTAAAATGTGAAAAAATAAAGAATTAAATAGAGCTAAATGTTTTATTTCAAATCATTAATTAATATCTAAACCATATGAATCAATGAATTTACCACTAAAATGCATGAATATACGAAGAGCAAAGCCATACAATGTTGTAGGTGTCAGTCGACATTCGTGATTTTCTATATTAAATCGAGAACTGTCTTTCATGTTTACTATAAGCCTAAAGTAATACAAAAGTAATACAAACTTGTGCGAATGACTAAAGATGCATTTTATATTTATACAACTTGTGTGAAAGTAGGAAATTTGTACAAGATTATGCAGGTACCTAACCCTAACCCTAACTCACATGTGCGATTAATTATTTAAAATACAGATAGTCACGTGAGTTCTACCCAAGTAAACATTCCTCAAAGGTACTCACTATACAGCCAAACAATTAAGTTTGCACCATTCGAGTCGTGCCGTTTAGAGATGATTGTATATACACTAGAGGGTAAGAAAAAGTTTAGTCCACGTCGTCATAAAAGTGTCAATATTTTTAACGTCCATGTAATTCAATGGGACAGGTATTGAAGTCCTGCATCTAAACACTCTTTTTTCATGTCAAAATAAGAAAAAAGCTAATATCATACTTATTGTATTTTTATTTCACATACATTCATGCAATTTTCTTATATTGTTCACTATGTCTTCAGGCAACTACACAACCTCTTTTGATTTTTAAAACAGATACAACAGCGTAAAAGTATCAAGCGGCAAATGCGCCCGTCGATGATCCGCCATCAGATTAATCAAGTGTCTATTTAAAAGTCCCCACCCCTGATTTAGATAAACGAAATTCAAAGCAGCTTCGGTATGACTTTTCCAGATTTTGGTATCTTGGGGCATTTAAAAATACTTAATTGCTTTTAATCTATGCTGATTTAGGTGATGCTTTACGCGCTTTTTAATTAGAAATATCCACTAATATCCACTATATCCACTAATGTTTAACTATTACTAAAAAAGAATAATTCAGTAAAATATTCTAAAGTAATAGGCACGGAAACGGGCCCTTTGAGTATTGCTTTATTGCACTTCTGTGACTCTACACTATACGAGGGGAAGTTCCACACAATTTTCATTCTTCCTGACCAACTGGCTCTTAAGAAAACGATTTTTAAGATATATAACACCAAATCTTTACTTATTCTTTATTATCTCCCCTTGAAAGAATGCATGGCCCTTCCTTTGAACAAACGTGAATTCATTTAACCTTAGTATGCTCAAAGGCAATTTTGGTTGAAATGGAGCCCAGTGGTTCTGGAAAAGATGTCGAAAATTACATTACACAGAAGATAATGTAAATCTATTTGTCCCTTGGGAGTGCATCCATTTGAAGAAAAATTAATGAGTTCGGCGTGAGAAGTTGTTATGGCATCTCTGATCAAGCATGTGTTATCTATATCTCCTGGGAATTTGGCAAAAGAATTGAAAATCTCTCTTCACTTATTCTCTTAATTTAAATTTATTGTCTTGTCAAAGCACTTAATTACTGGATGACCAGATTTTTATTTTAAAATGAATTTGATATAAAGTTATCAAGATTAATTTGATTTTGTATAATGTTTTTTTCAACAATAAATCTACAGAGTATCATGATAAAAAAAAAACAATGCATTAGTATTGATGTTTAATTTGATTGCTCCTTAGTTTCATTCATTAAAAAGTATAATGGGCAATTATATTTTCACTCTAATGTTTATAAGAAAAAACGCTTTATAACTTACTGAATTGTTTTGCAACAAACACTGAATCCTCGCATCATAGAAATTTTACGTTACCATTTCCCCGCAGGCACCAGCGGAGTACACGTTTCTATAAAGTTTTGCATAAATAAAATCATGACATAATATTTTAATTAGAAAATAACTCTCTTATTTTATGAGATTTAAGCAAGTATGAAATTATTAGAGTTTGCAATAAATTGAGAATTATATGAACTTTTTAAAGTGCGTGAAAATGCATGATTGCCGGGAAAGGGTAAATGCGTGATTTGGCGACTGAAATAGCAAATGATATAAAAATTAGGTCACAGGTCAATTTTGATAAAACTCTCTGCGTTTTGGAAGTTTGTTTGATTCGTTGGTTGCTTGGAAGCCGTGGTGCACATTGGACCAACACCAGAAGTACAACAATATTTAAAACTGTTAAGATCTTAAACGTGACGTAACTTTTCTGTTTACCTTGACCTCATGTGTCACTTCCTAGCTTCACTCCCTTGAATAATTACTCAATTACTCTGATCCTTTAACAGTCTCGCTGTAGTCTCACAAGATCACGTCGGAGCTACTGCGAACTCCTCGCGTATTTCAATTAATAGAACACAAAAAAGGTCACATTATTAAGGTAGTGTAATTGACGATGTGGAGAGTAAAAAAAAAGTGAACCATTTCTTGTTTGTGACTTTAAATAGATGTTGATGAGCGATGTATTAGATCCATCGGCTGCAATTTGAAACTCAGAGTCTTAGGCTTAAAATCAAAAATTCAAATTTCCACTGCTCATATACTGTTGATAAATTTTTGTGGGCATAAAATTTCCTTTATTTATCATCTAAAAATGTTTCGTAGTTAAAGTTTCCTTGTTTCAAAATTAAACAAACGCAAACTATAGTCATATAAAAATTGTGTGTGGGAATTTTTTCGTTGGTAATTGGAACGAAATAACGAAATTAAACTAACACAAATATTTCAGCCTCTACAGTACTTCCTATCACCCATACCAGAAAAAAAATATAGGGGATCCGCAATCAGATTGTCAGGGTATATTTATTGAATTGGCTCAATGGCAACATGTATTTTGTAACAAGATTTAACCCAAAACCTGTTTTAATATACCTTTTAAAATAAAATGATAAAAATTACATTTATTAAAAAAAAGTAATTCTCATAAATATGCTGCCCAAAATGTCATTTTATTTTTATTTTTCAGATGAAATTAAATCGCCAAAGTCTGTCATCCCTCCTAATGTCAGAGGTATGTTGGTGAATCCAAACACAAAAACTGGCAAAGTATAATAATTTGCACAAAATTCGTTAACTTTGACATTTTTCACTTAAAAAAACATATTGTATATACATTCTTGTTTATATTTCAATGGTGGCAATAGACGTTCTGAAATACATAATCAGAAGAAGGATATGCAGATAACGAACAGTATTAAACATCAAAGACCATAAAAAGATACAAAAGAGGTGCAGTGCATTCACGGACCTCCGAAACATTAGACTAGGGATCAAGTGCTATGGAGGAGTGAGCAATTGAAATCAAAATATATATACATATTCCTTTCCTTCAGAATTGTGCAACGGATAGGAAATTAAAGCATCTACGTTTTTTTGCTCTTATATATGTAAAAGATTTATTTTTTCTTGATGAATAATTTTATTCGTCTCAGTCGCCCTTATGGCACAGTGGTTAGAGCGTCTTCTGTAGAGTCACAGTGAAAGAAGCTGTTCCTTACGTCTGAGTTCAAATGCACAACAGGAAGTAGAGACTAGTATCTCTGATGAGACCTTTCCAAGCGAGGTCACGTGTCGCAAGGGGAAAGATCCCTCACTGCTTAAAGGCCCTGAGTGCCATGTATAGGTTTAAATGTACAGTCCTATACCGACAAGTGGTAACGTCTACATATGAATAAGAAAATGTCTCTAGAGACGTTAAAAAACAAAAAAAACATTATTTATCACTGGTTTGAAAAAAAAATAGATATTGAATAAATGTCAAAATAAAATGTAAAGAACGAGTGCACTTATGGGCCCCGGTAAAATGTGAAAAAATAAACAATCAAATTAAGCAAAAATTTTCATCTCAAATCATTAATTGATATCTAAAGCATAAGATTCAACAATTTTTACCGCTGAAATCCATGAATATACAAAGAACAAAACTATACAATGTGGTAGGGGTCAGCCAACATTGGCGATTTTCTATAGTAAATCGAGAACGGTCATTCATTTCAAAGCCTTTTTTAACTAACGTTGTGCAAACTTGTGCGAATGACAAAAGACGCATATTCACCCATTCTCAATATAAGGGCACAAATGCCTCTCTGATTTTTTAAAAAATGAAGTTCAAGATAACAATTTTTCTATCAATTACCTTTGAAAGAAAGTATCTGAAGATTTTGTTTCCAGATTTTTTTCATCAAATTATAATACATGAAATAATGACAAGACGATAAAGTAGAGGGTAATTTTATTCAGAAATGTAGCTTGAAATGTACGTTACTCTTTCTTCAATGTCCAAAAAAATATGTCAAAAAAAATGTAGTCATTAAAATCACAATTGGAATATCTCATCTTAACACCAGCACATCCTACCAACTCTGTCAGCAACATATTTTCTCGGCATACGAACGTGCGTTTGATTTTTCCTTTCAAAAAACAAAGGTTACTTTTTGATCCAGATGTGTAAAAACATTTTTTAAATATATGCTTTAATTTCTTCTCTCTGTTTTGTTAAGAGCGATCAGTTTGGAATCTTGTCATTTTTAATAGATACTGGAACCTAACATGTACATGTAGTAAAATTCTATTTTGAAGTTACTGTCTTTTTTAACATATATCCATGCCGATTTAGAAAACTATGTAAATGTAACGTACATTTCAAGATATATTTCTGTTTAATAAAAAGCTTAAAATTCATCTAAAAATTAACCGTTTTGTTTCAGTTTATTCCAAAAAAGATTCTCTATGTAATCACATTGTGTTATATGTCACAATCACCACTATAAAGACACGATTGCCTCAGAATATGAGTAGGTAACGTACATTTCAAGCTTGTAATAGTATGTAAATTAGTAATAAGAAAATATTGAAAAAAAGAAATTATTGACATAAAAATCATATCAATGAAGCGTTTTAAGGCAGTAATATAAGAATCATAATGTAACAAACGAGGTTATTGTCATCAACTACATGAATGTCACGTCACTTCGGTAACGTTCATTTCACATATTATTGGGGAGTCCCCTCCACCTCAGTTCATAACCATTTTTTGTGCTGTTTCGCTGAAATTGACACCGGTCGTAGCCTAGTTACTTCTAACTGTGTGCAAGGTTACAGACAAAAAAATATAAGAGTCAGATGTATTTTGCTATGATCTAACAAATGTTCGTGTTTGGCCATTGAAACTTAACATAAATCTATTCCGAATATATCCATCGACAGTCTTGTTAACAATTTCATTTAGTATGTTGCAACATTGTTTTTCAAAACACAAACATACGTGCTTTTCAGCAGATCTGGAAAAATGTAACCCAAAATGCAATGATTCAAACAAAACTGAGTATTCAGTATTAGAAATGTACGTGACCGTCTTGTGTGTTCTGGGTTTATTTGTTTTGTTTCTTTTTCTTTTCTTTTTTGTTCTGTTTTGTTTTTTTTACCAATTATAAGCCTATGCATACCTTGTTTTAAATTATCAACAACAATTCAATTAATATTGACGAAAAGTCGCACATGAAAAGTAAACAAACTGCAAAAAGGTTGCCAAAGATGAATTTAAGACACTTAGAAATAAATTTTCTAGCATGTGGTAACAGTTTAAAACATTTACGAGGATTGGGGTGCATTTAGATGTGGCCAGTTGTCAAATGGATTGTAACGATAATTTTGTTTCGCTCGTGTAAACGCAATTCATTGACTAAATTAAAAAAAATGTCAGTTAGAAATACATAAAATGTACGTTACCATACGTAACGTACATTTCAAATATAAAAATCAATTCTCTTCCACAAGCATACGTTAGACGCGCAATATATTGATACTATTTGAACCTGCATATCATAAGAAATGCATCATACAGGTTTCGTATTCAGAAATATATACCAGGTATCAAAATTATATTGCATAATAATTGACCTTAATATATTTTTTTCCTCAGCAGAGACGTTTCTTTTCATTAATTATGGGATTTAGCCGACCTCCAACCTTTGAAACTTTCCTTTGTGTACACATTCGAGTGTGTGAAATTTATTAGAATACATGAAAATTCGTGCGAGATTCACTTAATTCGAATTTCATGGTAACGTACATTTCAGTCACGTACATTTCAAATGATCACTTTTCATGTAAAAAATAATTTTTAATTGTGTTAAGCAAAACATCTTTGCCAGTTTACAGGATACAAGGGGTTGCTCATTCAGAGTAGTCTCATATTTTCTTCTTAATATATATTCTTAATGGAAGAATATAGGTAACGTACATTTCTTTCTTATCTCTACGATTGAAAATGTCTTTCATTCCGTAAACATATTTATAAAAGTTGCTCAAGTTGTTCAATTTCATGTTACATTATCTAAGTAGGAGTAATTAATCCTTTGAAATTTCAAATTTAGCCCATCAATAAATAAAGGAGAACAAAACTATCAGGTGTATAATCTTTGTGTTTGCTTGTAATGTGGTTGAAATAGAATTAAGCGACAGGGACATTGCACAATAAAAATTATTTATTATCACAAAGAAAATGTATTTATTGTTATGAAAAGAAACATATATGATACAAGGTTTAACTTATCAGAAAATTTTTACTTGAGAATCAAAACTATATATTACACAGAGGGGATTCAGAATAATATTTGCCTCGGCGACAGTAACGTACATTTCAAATAGGCTACTATATTTGAATTTGGAACTCCTTAAATACCCTTTCAGATCGATAATTATATGAATTCTTATTCATTGTTATATGACTATTTATAATGTTGATTTAAAAATTACATCAGTGGTATTTCTTTTAAATGAAAATAAGGCGACATCATTTGAGCCCTTATATTGAGAATGGGTGATTACATTTATAAAACTTGTGTGAAAGTATGAAATTTGCACACGATTAGGCTCGTACTTAAAATATTAAAAATGTATAAAAAGTACAATGTTTTTCCTATAGCAAGTGAAAGGTATTTACCTGTATGACCCATGTTGAACCCACATGTGGAATAAATTATTTAAAATACTGATAGTCACGTGAGTTCTACCCAGGTAAACATTCCTCAAAAGTGCTCACTGTAAAACATAGGTAGGTTTTGTTTCAGTAAGTCAAAGTCGTGCCGCTTAGAGATGTTTGTATGTATTTGTTTTTAAGAACACGGGAGGGTATGGAGATCTAAGTGTCGTTCATAAAGTGACAAACATTTTTAACCTTCATGCAAGACAATGGAACAGGTATTGAAAGCCACCTATAACACTCCTTTTTAATTTCAAATTCAATGAAAATTTTTCAAATGCAAGAGTACCAATTTCTTAGTTGAATCATTTTAGATACAGGCAACTACACAACTTCATTCCATATTTTTAAAAACAGGTTTGGCGCAAGAAATATCATTTCGCAAACGCGCCCGACTATGATCCACCAACAAATTGTTCAAGTATCGATTTAAATATCCATTCCCTTGATTTACAAACACGAAACTAAAAAGAAGGTTCGGTACGACTTTTCCGGATTTATAGGGTATCCATAGGCCTTTCAAAATATTCAATTGTTTCAAATCCATGCTGATTTAAGTGGCGCTTAACATGCTTTTTGATTAGAAATATCCACTAGTATCTAACTATTACCAATAGAGAACGATTTGGTAATATATTCTGAAGTAAAATGGCACATAAAAAGGGCCCATTAAGTATTGCTTAAGTGCACTTGTCCTTTCATCAAATATGAAAATTCATTTAAAAAAGAATTTTAATGCAGGAATTTTAATTACAAATATGTTATTTTTTTAAGTAATCCAAATTTACCTCTTTTAATTTTTTCAACACTGAATACCGATATACGAGGGCCGTTCAAAAATTACGCGGACTTGTTGCACAGAAGAAATATTTGACGACATAATCGGGCAAAATTTCACAAATAATATAAAAGAATCTTTGCATATAAGGTCTTCAAAATTTCATAGCAAAATGTTGTAAATTGGTATTAATTTTGAGTTATTTTTTAGGACATACCATTAGGTCACGGCGCAGCAAAATCTTCGACGTCACAAGCATTATAAAAAATATGTGATTGAGCTTTCATTTTCTCAACATTTTCCCTTGCGTACCTGTATAGTTTGAGTTACCTTATCTACTCAACATCAAATCACCATTTCTTGTCAAGCTTAAAATCTATTAAACAAGTAAAGTATTTACTTTTTTGTTTTAAAACCAAAAACTACTTATGAGATATAGTTGATATTGGTGACTCTCGTTCACGTTCTTTACAGTCCGGATAAAGTTAATTTTTCGTCTTTAATCTTCTTCCCGTCCTCCCGTATAGCCTTTTTACAGAGGCCTAACAGTCTAAAATTTCAATTTGCTATTTGTAAGCCAATGTCACGAGTAGCCTAGTTTACTACAAGTTTTATTATGCATATTTTGGATCTATGTTGCCGATATCTCGAGCATTACACATATTTTAAAAAGAGAGTGGTGCGCCGTCAATTCAGGAGACGTCATTTTCACAGTCGTTTTTACGGGAATTGCATTAGAGAAAAATCATTATATTTCTGTTTGTACTTCAAATATTACGTCCGAAATCTAAATACATAATGATAGAACAATTTTAGGGGGGACCTATGTCGTTCTACGTCAAAGCAGCGTTATGTGATGTCACAATAGCGACGTCTGTTTTTTCCTGTTGACTTTTGCAACTGTAATATAGGCATAACATTGTTAACAATCAATAACGTACCCAATTTACAAAAAGAAAATTTATTTGTCATTAATAACAGTTTTGATTTATGGAGTTTATTAATATTAGAATTTTCATTCGTTGGATGATAATTAATAGCAATTTCAGTTGTGAATTAATACTTTGATGATATCTATATGTGCAAAAATATAAGATAAAATTCCGCAAAGAAAGTGGCTTAAATCAGGAAAATATGTTTAATTTTACGTTTACCATTAATTGTATTTTCTGGATAAAACTAAGAAAAAAAACAAGAATGTACTTGTACCTATATTTGCCTAATAATTCATTTATATTTCATGGTTCTAATAGGTGTTGGTTGATGACGGGGAAATGGGGGGGGGGGGGCAGAATGATTGGAATGAAGAAGAAAAAAAATTAACCTGTTTAAATTGTTTCTAATCAAAACAAAATACTCGTTTTTCGCAAAATAGTTTTATATTCGGATGTTTGTCAGTGCTTACGTACCTTTTTTTAGTGCAGAAAGGTCACTATTAATGACACAAGCGTACGAAAATAAAAGAAAACGTCATATATCTCATTTGTTTTATCATAAAGGTATAGTTTTTTCTTTGTTAAAAGAAAGAAATGAATCATTTCTTTCAAATAATATGAATTACAACATTTTCACACAAAGACTTTTTAAGATATTACCTGTTGTGCATGTCGGAATTGTAAAAATTACGACAAGAAAAACGGGGTGATACTTACATTGCGCTCCATTATAATTTTTCATGCGAGATTAATAACAAAAAATTTGCTTTAATTTGAAAGATACAAGTCATATAAATGAAATACCTGTTGATTTTGAATGAGATTTGACATTTTTGGTTCTTTTTCGATCATATTTGGGGTAAAACAATAATGTCTCAAAATAATCTATTTTTAGCATTTCCAACTGTTTTTGCACGTGCTCCTGTGTAAAAATAAGCATATAAAGGTATTGTTTTTAATACCTAAAAATTAAGTGGTCAGGAAAGAAATGTCAAAGTTTTGAAAATTTCACACAAAGACTTTTCGGACATAGGTCCCCCCTTAAATGTACATTTGAGAAAATTGTTGAAAAATATCGCAAATTTTAGAAAATCAATGAGTTAAATTTTTGAATCCGCATGCTTTTGCTTCAATTTTTTTGTCGTGCGCCGTTCCTCCCCATCAACGATATCAACATATAGATAATTTTAGTCGATTTTTTTTAAAATACAGAAATTTTGCCCAAAATTTATTGGAATCTTTAAGATACATATTTCTGTGAAATTTTATAACTCTATGACGTCTGTAAGAGAATATGATAGCAAAGTCCGCGTAATTTTTGTACGGCCCTCGTATTTTGTGTTTTACCTTCAAAACAAGCTTTGTTTTTTATTTATACAAGTTTCAATATCATGCACTTTTGAATTGTAGAAGGAATGCATATCAGATTGAACTTTCTGAAATCTAATTATTTTATTGATATTATGAAATTATCATCAATGGCTTAACAATAAATTAAAAAAAATATCATATATCGGATCGGAATTTTCTTTAAAGATAAATTCAGGTAGAAACAGGTGTAAACAGAAATATGGATATTTTCAACATATGAAAAGGTTTTATCAATTTAAAATAGGAAATTTTGAAAATTAGGTTAAATCATAATTGATCGTCAAACAAAAAAATTAGAATTCTTCAGAAATCCATAAATTGCATCATTTCTTCAAATTCTATCCTGCAAACTTATTTTCAGAAGCGTTCTACAACACATTTTCTATAAATGATATCAAAATAAGTAATTTAAAAAAAAATATGTATAAAATTGTAAGTAACTTCTTAATTTGTGAGAAACAGGTAACGGTTACTGTGCGGTAAGAAACTTCATATTTACCCAATATATATCTTTTTAAATCAATATTGGCATGTTCCCCTTACTTTACTAGGCATTTGCTTCTTTTTCATACGTAAAACGTTTAATTACTTTGACAACTGGGTAATTATATTTTTGACAGGATACTAATAAAAATAACTCGCTGTTTATTTTAGATATTTTTGAAAAAGAGTTCAAACGATGGAAAGAGGAGGATCGGGTTTACAGTGAAAGCCACGGTTTCCTTGCAATGTTGGACAAAGTAAGAGAGCAACCTTACATGACATTTGTTGGTGTCCCAGGCTCAGGAAAACGATTCATCACATGCAACGATTCATCACATAGCCCTGATACTCCAAGAAGAAGGATGCGAGGTTGTACCTATTATAGACATCAGGAAGATTGAAGATTATTCTGACTCTCGTCATCCACAAGTTTTTGTCATTGATGATGTGGTAGGTGTGTTTGGTCTTCAAAAACAGAAATTAGAACTATTACTCGATTATGAAAGAACAATTTCAAATCCCTCCAATAGAAATACAAAAGTACTAATGTCATGTCGGGAAGCA